ACGTTGCTTCACTGGCCCAAGTTGGCACCATCATTGTGCTCTTCCCGGGCGAGGCAGATCAGTCGCCGGCTTCTGGACGGCCGCTCACTGCGGCTGCTGGCCGCTCACGCTGGCTGCCAGCTACACACGGTAGCCCATGGCAACCCACTGCAGCAGGGGCTGCAGCCTATGCCGTCGCTGGCGACTCACGGCAGCCCAGCTCCAGGTTGAGCTGTTGTTCAGCATCTTAGCTGTGGAGGGCAGTGTCACTGGCCCCCATATGTGGGATCCAAACCGGGGCCCTCTGGCATCCCAAGCCAGCTCTTAACCGACGCGCCACTCTGCCAGCCCGAAATATATGGGTTTTGATAAGGATTCAGAGGAAGGGAGAGGGGGATAGGGAGGGGGAAAAGGAGAGGGAGGGGAAAGGGAGGGCAGGGGGAGAGGAGGGAAGGGTAGGGGCGGGGGAGAGGGAATAAATGATACCAATTTTGTATAAGCATCTGAGCCATGGAAAATTCTGGGAATCTCAGGCTTAGGATCAAAAGATAAGGAATATACAAATTTACCATCTGCAAAGGCATCCTCGACTAAAGGGAGAATCAGCTTGATAGTCCAAAAGTAGCTGGTCAGGGCCTGGAGCCAAAGCATTTGTATAAGCTATAACCAGAATGATTTGTTTCTGGCCCTCTTTCCATTCCCTGCTCCCCACAGGGGGCTGATCCTTGTAAACGACATTTCCCAGGTGCCCTTGCCAGCTGGCTTCCAGGTAGGTTCGGCCAATAGGAGGCGCAGCAGGAAATCGCAGGGTGAGAGAGAAAGAGAAGACTGGGCATTTCTCCTTCTCTCCCTCGCTCAGCTTCTGGTGGTACCTCCGACCGAAACTACATCTATCTACTCCAGGAGCCCAACTCCTTCCAGGTGGCTCAATTCCAGAGTTTGCAAGGACCACCTCTTCCCTCAGTCCCTCCAGCCCTGGAGGTGGTAGAAGCTTCCTTCGTTTGCTAATCTCTAGCTTTCCTTTGCCATCCCCTACTTGGCTTTTCAGCTCTTTCAACACCTCTGTAACTGCTCCCCTCTATTAAATTGCCTCTGTTGAACGACCCGGCATGAGCTCTGTTTTCCTGCCTAGACCCTGCATGATACACTGTATTAAAGTAAACTATCACCTTACATCATTCCAGACATTTAGATTACTCAATTTAAAACGGCATTGAAATCTTACATTTTGCTTATATGGGTAGAATTAGCCAGAATTGCTTTCCAAACATGAAAAACGCTATTATTTTATTAGACAAGTAATACATGCAAATGATTTTAAAATTAGGAAGAAAGATAACCAAATTAAAAATTACTATTTACGTATAATTCAAGCATCCTGAGATAATATTGCTATTGACAATGTGTTATATTTGCTTCTAGCCTGTAATATAATTATACACATTCCTTGCCATATATCAATATTTTTAAATATAATTTGTATCAGGTCATATAAAGTTTTAGAACTTGTTAATATAAATTTTAAAACTATAATCTAAGGTCTTTATATTTTGTAACATGCATTTTAACTTGAAATTATATTTCTTTCCATATCAATAAGTATACATCTATAGCAACATTAAATAGTAGCACCAAGTTCAAATGTATCATATACCACTGTCTGGATAGACCGTGATTTATCCCCACAAATGTCTATTGCCGGACATTTATATGTTTTCCACTATTATTCACATTGCTGTCATAGGCATCCTCATAGATAAGTCTTTTCACCCTTGCTGCGTAATTTCCTTGGGTAGAAGTGGACTTGCTGGTGTAAAAGGAAATGTATTTTTAAGGCTCCTCATACATATGGTGAAACCACCATCCACAAAGGTTGTAGAGATAGTGATTCTTGGATGCTTTGTAAACCTTTAATTGTGTTACTTTCAAACGGTGTTTGTAAATGCCCTGACAACCAGAACCCCCTCATTCAATGCCATTTGTTACCACTGGCGTATTATAATTGTAAGTAAACAGTGGTCACAGTGAAAATGGTTTCCTGAGAATCCGCTGCAATGCTGACATAATTGCGGGGCCTGTGGGGAGGATCTTGTCCTGCTAAAGTTTTGTGTCAAGTGGAGTGGATTGCTTTCACTGCAAAATGCACCAGAATGGAAGTTATCTGAACTTGATGCCCCAAAAGAGACGTGGCGGGGAAAGAGGAGTAGTTCAAATAATTCTTGATCGATTAACTGCCTTGGCACACCCAAGGGAGGGACATATTTTAAAGAGAAATCTTGTGGTTGCAGGAAAAAGAAAAGCCAGTTCAAACTGGTTTAAATAATAAAGGAAATGTGATGAAAAGTCCAGGTTCTTCGTGAAGCTTGATCAGTTCAACATGGCACCATGGGACAAGTGTTTCTTTGACTCTCCTTTCTGCCTTCCCCCACATCCCCTTCAGCTGGAGAACGGCTCCCCTCCTGGGCACACAATGGCTGCTAGCAACTTTCATGAATGTCTGCTTCTCTGTTCATAGTCAATGAGGAAATAGAGCTTCTCTGCCAATGGTTCCTTAGAAGATCTAGGAATCACGCTTCCTAGAAGCCCCTGGAAAATGCTTTTCATTAACACATTTCATTAGCCCAAACTGAGTCACATGACCATCCCAGGCCAGTCACTGTGATGGGGGATGGGCTCTGCTCTGTGGCTTCAGCCATTGGAGACCACCCCTGCTACCGGCACCATATCTCTTATGATACAAGGTCTAACCAGGGAACTGGTATCAAGAGGGAGGGTGAAGGGGTATTGGGGGAGTGAGAAAAGCAAATGCCTATTATGTAGAAGTGTTTTAAAGTACTCCTGGAGACCCTCACATACCTCCTTGGAGGTCTGTGCCTCCACCCACTTCACCCATCCCTCAGGATGAAAACTGATAGATCTGCCATCAAGTTTCAGCCCAGGGGTTGGAATACCTTAGTGTATTCAGATGCGCAAGATAGGTTACCTAGAAGTCATTCCTAATAATAGCTAAAGTGATAAAGTTTATAAATGATTTCACTGTTTCATATCTAGTTGAGCTTATTCAAGGCTATTGCAGACACTTTTGTTTTGTATCCTATTACTTAATTTAGTGGATGAGAAGGAGCTGCAATTTTGAGTACCTTGGGGGAATGGCCATCGACTCTCCACCCCGAATCTGAGCTGCCTTGCACAGGACATTGCTAGGGGACCCAGGAAAAAAATGGCTGAGAATCAGAGAGGCCAGTCCCATTCCCTTCACTCCATGGCCGACCCCACACTCCATCCCACCACCCTGCCACAGATGTCATTCACCTTTGATACAGCGCCAGTCCTGACCTCCCATGTTCCATTGCAAAGGCCCAGAGAAGCAGGCGTCATAGCCCAATTTCATTGCTGAGAAAGTGCGTGATGGTGGCTGTTGGGAAAACACCATGCCTCCTCCTCCCACACGTCCGTCCATATTGATTTCTGTCAGTGAGCACCTGACCCGTCCTCACTCTGCTGCCTTCTGTTCTTAGGGTTCACATGACACTACCTACCATGCCTGGGACAGTGCTTCCAATCAGCCTTTGTCAAACTTCACTTGGCCATTTTTTTTTTTTTAAATCTCTTCTCTTTGTGTATTACCTGTCTGATTCATCCTTATTGCAGGGTCATAGGAAATACACAAAAGCAAAGAAAAAGAAATAAAAAGTGCCATAATCCCGCCCCCCAGAGAGAATCACTGCATGTTGGGGTATGGCTTTCCATATCCCTTGATATGTGTACATACACATAGATCATTAAAAAAAAACAAAAACAGAATCATCTGATACATACATACATACGTTACTTTGTGACATGTCTTCCTACTTGAATATATATATATGTATATATATATATATTTACATCATTGTATCTTCATTGCATTTAATTGCTGCACAGTATTCTATTGTTTAGCTGCATCATGATGGTTTAAGATGTATAGGTGATTTCCCAGAGTTTGCTCTTCAAGCAGCGTCCTAGTGAAGAATTTGTGGATGAACGTCTGTGCCCATAGAGGGAAGCTCCCATAGGATGCCTGACAACCCACGAATTGTTAGATCAAGGGCAGGCACACGTGTACAGCACTGACTATGCACTGATGAACTGCCCTTCAGAACCGTCATCACAATGTAGTCTCCCTCCAGCTTCATTTTTCCATAATTTCTTGGCCTTTTATTTAAAAAAAAAAATCCTAGTGTTGCAGGAAGTTAATTTCAAGACAGGTTAATCCAGATAATAGCCTTGTTATTGTTCCACCAAACTGGTGGCTGAGAAAAGTGAGTTTCGTATTAAAATACAGTGCATTTCACTCTCTTCTTGATGTTGACCTGCTATCGACTTCTGAGTAATGAGTTTAAGTCTTGGGAGGTTTGACCTACCGCGAGGCACTGCAAATGAATACAGGAAGGGGAAGGAAAAGCCCATGAACAATTACCTGGATAATTCACTCATAAAATCCTGCTAGGGGAGCAGCGAGAAGGGGAGGGGAGTACATTTGCATCTTTCCTTTGATGAGCTTCAACTCTCCAAATCATCTGCCTATGCTGCCAACAATGATTATTAACATTTAATTATTTGCTTTACATTGAATATAATGCTAATAATAGAAGCCTCCATTTTCCAATGCTTGCTGTGAGTCAGGAATTTGGCAATTAATTTAATCATTACAACAAAGTAGGAATTAGTCCCCTGTTCTGCTGAAGAAACTGGGGCCCAGAGAGGTTGAGTAATTTGTCCAAGGTCACACAGCCAGTCACCAGACAGAACCAGGACCAGAGCTCAGGGCTGCCTGTCTCCAAAGCCCTTGCTATTTCCACTGTGCCTCATGGTCCCTCTTTGGTGTAGAGAAGGATGCTGTGCTGCCCAGAACCGCTCCCATCCCCCCCCCCCCAACATGATCAGACATCTCAGATAAACACAGGAGCCACCTGTAGCCTGGTTCCACTTGTAACAGTTGTACTAACACTTTTTGCTTTCACTTCTTGGCTTCCCCTCAGGTCCCAGAGAAGCCAACAAAGAGCATCAACTATATGGACAAGGAAATAGTAAACCTCAAAAAGGACCTTACACGAAGCCGGTGAGTGAGCCCAACGTGGACTAACCCATAGACAACCTGACAGGGATTAGCAGGCTACGGGGTGGTGCCTACAAGTCCTTGCCAAGTCCCAATGGCAGCCCCCCCGAAACCCTACACATTAAGCAGAAGACTTACAGGAGGGTAACCCTGTAAGGGTCCATTTCCTGGTTGGACTTTGCAGAGTACCTGGACCAGACTTACAGTCCCACTCATGCACGCGCCAGTCCCCTGCCTAGAATTCCCTCCGCTTTCCCTCCTGGACCTGAATCCGACTCAAGATAGTTCCCATATACTCCAGAAAAATCTCCCCTCTTTCCTCCAGGGCCTACAGCATGGCAGCAGAGAGTCAGATAGACTCGGTCTGAAATATTGGCCTGCTACCTGCTGCCTGGTGACACTGGAGGCGTTACTTAACCTCCCCAAGCTCTGTTGCCTTACCAGTAAAATGAATATAATATGAGGCTGTTAGACGGACTGGGTGAAATAATGCATATAAAGTGCCCCTGATGTGGCCTCCGATACAGTGCCATTCATATCTATCCCTGCCGCACAATTCCTCCATGATAATGTCAGCAAATTCAGGTCTAGGACCATATTTTATTTGTCCCTGTGGGGCGAGATGGGACTTGTTTTCCTCTCCCCTCGACTCCTTCTTGGGACCTGGAATTTTCCAATGCGGGATCATAAATGGGGCTCTTGGCAAAGCAACTCAAGGCAGAGTAAGAGATGGTGACTCGTTTAGCACAAAACACTCAAGGATGTGCTTGGGGGGGGGGAGGGGGGGGTACAGACGCATGGATGCCTGTTTATCTCATGTGTCTCCCACTCTGAGACACATCACAGCGAGACAGGTCCTTCCTTCACCTCCATCACCTCCAAGTTCCTCCATTGACCTGTCCAGCAGCACAACTTGATGGAACTGGATGACTGCGCCCAAGAAGAGGCAGGAAGGTGTGGGCGTTAAAGGTCGAGCAAAGGAAACGGGCGAAAGGGACCAAGGGAGGGGTCAAGACAGGGCCCCAGAGAATGCGATCTCCCCCGTGACCGCAGGAGGGACGGCTGTGATGGCCCTCGGGGGGGTCTCTGGACACCCACCGTCTAGCAGAAAATGTGAGAGCCGTGCATGCCATTTAAGATATTTGAGTAGCCACACTAAAAGCAATATAAAGAAACTGGTGAAAGTAATTCTGATATATTTTACTTAACCCGGTATATCCATTATCATCCAACATGTAATCAATATAAAAAGTATTAATGAGATACTTTATATTCTGTTTTGAATTCATGATGAAAAGTGATGAAAAATGATGAATGATGAAAAATCCAGGGTATATTGTGCCTTTAGAGCACATAGCAATTCGGACCAACCACATTTCAAGTGCTCAATAGTTGTTACGCACTGAATTGTGTTCCTTCCAAAATTCTTACGTGGAGGCCCTGACTCCCAAGGTGACCGTATTTGAAGATAGGACCATTAAGGAGGTAATTAAGGTTAAATTAGGTCGTAAGGGTAGGTCCCTCATCCAATAGGACTGGGTCCTTATAAAAAGAGGAAGAGGTAGAAGACCACGTGGGGACACAGCAAGAAGGTGCCATCTGCAAGCCAAGGAGAGAGGCCTCAGGAGAGACCAACCCTACCAACACTTTGATCTTGGACTTCTAACCTCCAGAACTACAAGAAAATCAATGTCTGTTGTTTAAGCCACCCAGTCTGTGGTATTCTGTTACGACAGCCTGAGAAGACTAATATAATAGTCAATGTTGGGATAATCCCATAAAGAATGTCCCCAGCTCGATGGGGCAGATGAAGCTCACGTGGAGTTTGTGAATGTGAACTTGGCCGTCAGAATCAAGGGCTGTGACCCACAAGGACCTTCTGGGAATTGTGGACATCTAGGCCTCCCTCCAGTGTTTTCAAAGCTAATTGGAGGGCTTTTGAGGCTGATGCCTTGGAGACCATGGCGGCCCCAGGACTGGCGAGAAATAGGGTCAGGAAGCCAAGAGTTATCTGGGTGGGGGTAGCATCCGTGCCAGGCAGCTGAGAAAGGGGATCGAATGGCTGAAGATGAGCCTCCCGACGGGATTTGTACTCGGCTCCACAGTGTAGCAGAGAAGTTGAATCAGAGGTGAGATTCAAATTACAGAACCATCTGTATGTCATGTGCACCGATCAGTCAGAACAGACACGGGCCATGCATGACCATGATGACCATGTCAGTTCCTACCAGCTGAATATGACCAGCCTAGAGGAAGATTATTGTAGCCCAGATCCCCAGCTACAAATACATACCAGAACCTCTGGAGCCTGGGAAATGAGAGAATCCCCACAGTAATGTGTATTCTAGACACGAGATGTGAAATAGAGCTATACCAAGAGATGAATGATCGTCATGAGGACCCAGGTACCAAGACTCCACCCAGCCCCAGGAGGGCAAAAGCTGTGGTGAGCCAGCTTGTAACCAGCACCGACTGCTAAATTTTCAGGACATTTGCAAGCCAATAATTAAACACATCTATTGTTAAACATTAAATCAGATGAACTTACAATGAAATACATGATATGAAAACAAAGGTAATAAAACCTTGAAGCTCATTGCTTCCTAATGATTTTATACATTTTACTGTAACCTGTTCTCTTGAGGCTATTTCTGCTTATATTATCTGCCTGGTGGGAAGACTGTATAAAGGGGGCTACCCCCAACTCTCTTCCCAGCTCTGCATTCACTGACTTCACGTTGGTAGCTCAGGAGGGAATATTTACGTCACAGAAATCAGCAAACGCTACAAACCAGGGCTTACTTGTCCCCCCCCCCACACACACACACCCTGGAGACATGGATGCTAAACATCCTTGGGGACATGACCCCCATAATGACCACGATTGAACTTTCCACTAACCCAGTATAACACAAGGGTTTGATGAAAAGGTGATGGAGACAGTGGCTTTTCTGCCATCCTTGAGCTAGCAGGCTGAGGCTGTCCCCCACTCCAGATGCATTTGCTATCACTCTGAAACTAGCTCAAATTTACCGTCCTCATCGGAGAGGCTTAGCTTGTCCACGGGCTAGACATGAAGGAGAACGTGGCCAAGACCAGACAGCAAAGCCACAAGCAAGAAAACAAGAAACGACAATCAAATGCCCCATCTGGCCACACTCCTGGGTCCCATGGACATTTCAGGAACCGGCAGAAGGAAACCCCGTTTCCCAGGGGAAATCACTTCTCCAAAAGATGCAGACCCTATAGTCCCATCTTCTGATGTTAAATGAGGCGAATTATTAGCAAAAAAAAAAAAATGTCTTTTCCCCTTAGAGTTTTTCAAATCTGCTTCACCTCCTATTGGAATCTAGCCCACCTTGAGCCAAACACCTTGACTGTCTCCTAGACTTTTATTTAATATTTCAGCCCTCTTATAATTCAATTGCACCATCCCTGGTTTCATGGCCAATTTAACATGATGCTAAAAAAAATAAAACTCTAACTGCTTTCCTCTTCACCTGCGCCTCCAGATGTTCGGTGGCACTAAGCAGCTCGCTATACGTCCTCACGTGCCGAATTTCTCATAGTGGAAGTTGACACTGGGGCGTCTGCGCGTGCCCAGTTCTTTGCCTGGGCTGACTGTTGAGGCCAACAACGTGTCTTCCACCCAAGCTGCCAGTGCCTTTTTTACTGGGAGTGTTTTAAGGAAAATAAACATCTCTGCAACAACTAAAAACAATGGAAAAGTTGAACCTGAAGCCATGATTTACTCATGGTAATGTTTAGTTAGGTGCAGGCAATTACAAATAAACAGTGATGAATTAACAACGCCCCCTGCCCCCAGTAGCCCCCAGCAGGGTACAGATTATGCAAGTGGTTATGAGGTCTGAGACTTTGCTTTCTAGCTACAGTTGGTAGACAGTTGAAGCAAGGCAGTTAGAAATAACAGGTGGATTTTGGCAAAGGAATGAGGTTTTTTTGTTTTTTGGGGTTGTTTTTTTTTTGTATTGGGTTAGGCACTTCTTGGTCCCTAGTTTTTCTGTGCTCATTCGTTTCTTTCAACAAATATTTATTGAGTGCCACGTATCACCAGGTGTACACCAGGCATCATTGTGTGTATTAGAGACACAGCAGTGAACAAAGCCGATGAGATTCCTATGAATGAGATACAGTGATGTGTGTTATAATGGGGCAAAGGCCACAAACAAGTTAGCAAGTAAATAAGCAGGGTTTGGAGGGATGTTGGCCAGATACTGTGAAGAATATAATACGAGGTAATGCATGGTGATGGGCAGATAGCTGCTACTTTAGCTCGAGTGGTCGGTCAGAGGAGGCTGTTCTATAAAGGGGATCCCGGACCTGATACCTAAATGGTGAGAGAGAACCATTTACACAAGGACTTAGGGGCGAGGGGGGAGACTATTTCAGAGGACAGTGGGTGGATGGGTACCAAAGTGGAAACAAGATGGAAATGCTGCAGAAACAGAGAGAAAGCCAGTGTCGCTGGAGCAGAGTGAGAGAGGGTGAGAGAAGTAACAGATGAAATTGGAGAGATGGGCAAAAGGCGGGATCACACGAGGCCTAGGGCCTCCTAGGCGATTGGTGAAAAGTTTGGGTTTTAGTCTAGGTGCAATGAGAACCCATTGGAGGGCTCTGAACAAGAGAAGGATATGATCTGATTTTTAAGAGAACACCCCATCTTCTGCATGGAGACTGGTTGGAAGACTACGGTAAAAGATGGTGATGGCTTGCAACAGGCAAACGGCAGGGGACTGGAGATAAGTGGATGGAGTCGGGATGTATTTGGAGCCATAGGACTGACTGGTGGATTGGATGAGACGAGGCTGAAAGGCAGGATCAATGTGCTATGATGATCTGTTTTTATCTCTGCCTCCCTTGCTAGGACATGAGATCTGTCATAGCCTAGACTATATACCATGTCCACTGCCATGGTCCCTGAGTAAGTGTTTATTGATGGGATGAATTCATTCTCTTGTCCATCCCTAGCACTTAGCAGTTAA